CCCCCCCCCCCCCCCTGCTGCACTGGTGAATTTAGTTCTTCTTTTTCGTGTACATACCAAGCCAACGTTGCTCCCGGATCTTCTCCGTTGACCTTTACCGATTCCTCCATGGCCGAACAATATCTTCCCGATTCGACAGATTGGCTCTCAACGCCCCTTAGCGCTCTTGCCGCTGTTGAGAACGCATTGCGATGTCAGGTGTGCAAGGACTTCTTCAAGACGCCCATGATCACTAGCTGCTCCCATACATTCTGCTCCCTGTGTATTAGACGAGTACTGTCCAGCGATGGCAAGTGTCCGCTTTGCCGTGCGACAGAACAAGAGAACAAACTGCGAAGCAATTGGTCATTAGAAGAGGCTGTACAAGCCTTCATCAGCGCCAGGTCCGCAACTTTAGAATTGGCACGGGGGGACAAGCTCCAGCCATCGGCGCCGAAGCGAAAGACGGCGGAAGAACATCACGACACTGATGGTGCGCCGAATGGCAAACGGCTGCGTTCGTCCGCGCGATTACAGAAAACTCAGCCTGCAGCTCCTATGACAGAACAAACAGAAGATGACGGAACTATCGAAGTGCCAGACAGTGACGACGATGGTGAATATCAACCAGAATTAGGTCCGTTTCGAATACTGTATTGATTGCGATCCAAATCTAACCATCTACAGACGATGGTCTTGTGGCGTGTCCAGTCTGCCAAGATCGAATGAAGGAATGGCAGGTCTTCAAGCACCTGGAAACATGTACTGGTCCCAAGACGAAACCGCACCGAACCCATGCGAGCAGTTCCAGCTCAATATACAGCCAACAACGACAGCCCGGGACGGCGCCAGAAAGACTCCCCACAATCAATTATTCTATGTACAAAGAACAGGCGCTGCGCAAGAAAATGGCTGATCTAGGCATATCGAACCAGGGCCCCCGTGCTTTGCTTGAACGTCGGCACAAAGAATGGATGACAATATGGAACTCAAATTGTGATGCTGCACGGCCTAGAAAGCGCCATGAATTATTACACGATCTGGATGTCTGGGAGAAGACGCAGGGAGGACGGGCCCCGACTACTGGGCGGGCTGTTCAAAACGCGGCCATCATCAAAGACAAAGACTTCGATGCCGCAGCTTGGGCAGCTAAGCACGACACCTCCTTTAAAGACTTGATCGCAAATGCCAGAAAGACGAGGCTTGACGCAAAAAGGAAGGCTGAGGAAGCAGCGAAAGAAACTGAAAAGGAACAGAATGCCAATACACTTCCTCAAGTGCAGGGTTCGGAGGCTTTTGAGCAACAACATTCCTCCCAAGATGGGCGCGCCTTGTTACCGTCCACGACCAGTCCGTCAGAGGGTCAAGAAGTGTCACAAAAAGTTAGTGGGCTAGTAGTCCCCAACATGGCGGGACCAAGAGGCACAACTCATCAAGCATCATCACAACTGGACCAAGGTATCTCATATTCCGATGAGCGGTTGGAGGAACCTTCAAGATCTCAACCCGCTATCAGCGACAGATCAAATATGGACAGACAACCAATGTATATGCACACAGATGGGAACCTGCATGACACAACAATAAATCACTCCTGACTGGAGATCATCAGCAAGAATTTTTGATGGGGTTTATAGCGGCGTATTGATGGCCATATCAGGTGAATAGATAGAGCATGCATGCATGGAGATACCATGCAACGATACTGAGTGAAGAAGGAAAATGGGCAATAAAGACGCCCTAATGTATAGATTCTAATGAACAATGACCCAATTTGTACAATCTTCCCAAAAAGAAAACGCCCCGGATATCCTACTGCATTGATCATATACACGTGTGAGCCATTGGACCGGCACTAACCACTCACTCTCTTCCTCTTGATATTCTTTGTCGTTGGCATCCCCTATAACGCCAGGTTCGCAATCCCGGTCTCGGCCGTTGGCGTCTGCTCCTTTTGTCGGATTTCTTCGGTCTCACCAGGTACAGATGGCAACTCGTCGAGTTTCCTTTGTGCCTCGGCCGCCTCTCGTTCCTCGCGTTCTTTCTCCTCTTCAACCTCTCTGATCTTCTGCTTCTTCTCTTCTTCCTCGCGCTCCTGTGCCTCCATGGCCTCGAGCTCGTCGTCGAGCATGTCCTCGTCGACCACTTGGCCGGTTGACTCGGCCATAATGGCACTCACCTCGTCCGTAGAACTCATCTGCTCGCGCAGCTGATCCATAACTGCATCGACGCGATCGGCACCACCAACTTGTTTGTTGAGACTTGCCAGCGCACCAGAAGAGGCCTCCATAACGTAGACGAGCTGCACATTATCGGCAGCCTGCTCCAGCTTGGCGGCAACTTCCTCTAGCTGATTGAGAGTCGAGTATCGAGTGGCCAAGGACGACTCTGCAATCTTCTTGGATTTGAGAGCTGCAAGGGCCGCAACGCGGTTCTTGCGGGTGACCGCATCTTTGGCTGTTTGCGAGAGCTCGTCAATTCGCGTATTAAGGAGGTCGGTTTGGTGCTTGAGGCTTTCTGTAAGCTCTTTAAGAGATGCTATGGCGGCATCTTCCTTTGTGATGCCCTGTTGCTCCCCGGAACCTTTGATCCTAATCGTGTTCCCGTCGTAATCAATCACCTCTTTATCACGCGACAAAAACTTCAAAAGCACCTCTAAGTCGTTGTCTGTCAACCGCTGGTCTTTGACAAGAGTAGCAGAGAAGGCCTTTTGAAATTGTGCCCTGCTGAATACGCGGTCGAATCGTGACACCTTATCCGCCATCAAATCGCCCAACTCTTTAGCAGCAGTTTCCATGTTCTTGACAATAACATATTGGCCAGTAGGTAACTTGTCGTCACCTCTCGCGTGGTCCACGACACCCAGCTGCCGCAATGTCCAGCTCATGACACTCCATGGCAAACCTGCCCAACTGCGCTGATATATACTCTGTTGGGACTTCTCGAAATCGTTGAGAGGTATGAAGTCTCGACCCGCGGTGGCTTCGCGCACTACGGTGCCGAGTGCCAAAGGTTGGCCAAACTCTTTGTGCTCCAGTGAGCGAAGCAGTGAATCATCTAGTTTGAGGACAAAATGATCAGGACTAGATCCACGGTAGGATATCATGCCTTTTGCGACGAGATCGGAGAGGGCCTGGCGCCAGGCAGAGATGTTGGCTTGGTAACCATCGGGGTTCAAGGTGCGTTGTGATCGGAAATCAGAGTATCGAGCTGGTAATCGTGACCTTATCTAGGTTAATCAAGCGGCACTTTATCAAGAAGTAGGGCAGTATCTCATTACCTGCTGAAGCTTGGGTCATTATGGATGAGGTAGTCTGCAAGCTCGCCCATGATCTTCAGTTGAGCGCGCCCGTGTGCGTGCACGCCAGACAATTAAGAGTTCGGGGTCAGTGATTCGGTCTGAAAGATGTCTTTGAAATCGCAGGCTCAAGACTGTCGATGATGGTAGTTCCTGTGTCGTAGGGTATATGATTAACTCAAAGGTTGAAGGGAGGCTCAAGAAGAAAAGAGAGCCTAATGACGACACTTGACATTTATTGGATGTATCATGTATGCATGCCCATGCAGAAGCCGTTCCGTCCGTTGGGGGTTTGGGCTTAGCTTTAGGCTTGGCTATCACCAGGGACGATGGCCCTTATAGTGGGGTTATTAGTGAACCTGGAACCTTATGAACATCCACCCATGGGGGTTCATTAACCAGCTGACCTCTAGACGGAAATCCAAACCCGCAGATCAAAATGGCACAAGCAGAGAATTTTAATCAACGATTAAAATTGCTTTTCGGAGCAACTGTAGGCCTGCTATGATATTGTGCTCGAATCTGGGCCAGACGATAAATCAATCTTGGAAGCAAGCCCAATGACTACCTAGATTAAATAGAAGCCTTCTCGTCACCGTATAGCGGAAAACATCCATACTATTCACTTCCAAAGAGTTTAATGCTTTTTCAGAGCTGTAGTTGAACTTATCAAAGCCGAAATCCCCTTCCCGGCCAACCGAAGACTCAATTATCTGTCTCCAACTCTTGGCCCTTTCGTCACTACAAACAGGGATTAGGCAATGTTGTGGGCTTTTGATAGGCCGGGACTCAGACGTTGGTCTTTTTTAACTCCAATTCACTGGGGTAAGTAGATAGCTATCGCGGGGTAAGGAAAGACCGCTGGTTTACTTGAGACCATTAACTTGATGAATGTCCGTAAGTACGATAGCAATTCTATTCTGCCATTGACTTCGAACCATTATCGACTCTCGATATTGAGTTCTATTGGCTTATTAGAATCAAGTAATACCTTATTGTGACATACCTTAGGACCAAGACAAGATATATATATATATATATAACTACGATTGTTTTTTTTGTCGATCAAGTCGTCTTCCATCTCCATCTTCATCTCTACTATCTATCTCAATTCAGATTCCTCCTTGATTTCTCTACAAACTCTCTTGTCAAATCCGATCACACCATCCGCTTCTCCACCTCGGCCCCTTACCTACCTTATCTACCTACCCGGTCAACAAATGAATACCCGGCGTCTCTTCACTACCGCATTCAAAACTCTCAACGTCTCTCTTACGGAGTCACACCCACGTTCATTCTCTCCTGTCTTTCGTCCCCTCTTCACCTATCGTACAATGGCATCAGCTGCTGCCGCCAAACGTCTCACTGGCAAGACTATCCTTGTCACCGGCGCCTCCTCCGGCATCGGCCGTTCCACTGCCCTCGAATTCGCCCGGACTGCGCCCAAGAATGATCTGCGTCTCATTCTCACAGCCCGTCGTGCTGACTCCCTCAAGGAACTCGCCGAGCAGATCAAAAGCGAGGTTGGTGATGGCGTTCAGGTTCTTCCATTCAAGCTTGATGTTAGCAACTCTGCCGAAGTAAAGGGCATCGTGGGCAACTTGCCCGAGGAGTGGAGGAACATTGACGTTCTTGTCAACAATGCGTAAGTTGTCGTGGCAAAAAGACATCATGAAATAATGGCTGATGATCAAGAAAGCGGCCTCGTCAAGGGCGTGGCTCGAGCTCCAGAAATCGCCGAGGAGGATATCAACGTTATGTTCCAGACAAATGTCACTGGTCTCATCAACATGACCCAGGCCATTCTACCCATCTTTCTCGCCCGACCTGATGGTGGCCATGGCGACATCATCAACGTCGGCTCTATCGCCGGCCGAGAACCATACCCTGGCGGCGGCATATACTGTGCTACCAAGGCTGCTGTACGCAGTTTCACTGATAGCTTGCGAAAGGAGCTAATCGCAAGTCGCGTTCGTATCATCGAGATTGATCCCGGCCAAGTCGAGACTGTAAGCTGAGCTGGACACTTCCGGGTTACCAGACCAAAAGTTGACACAGATGCAGGAGTTCTCTGTCGTGCGTTTCTATGGTGATAAGGCAAAGGCCGATGCTGTCTATGCGTAAGTAATCTCTATGACCTTTACTTACACTACCATGAACTAATCACACACAGTGGGTGCGAACCTCTGACGCCCGATGATATTGCCGAGATCATTGTGTTCACCGCTACCCGCCGAGAAAATGTCGTTATTGCTGATACATTGGTTTTCCCGAGTCATCAGGTAAGCTTCAGGATAAGGCGAAATCGACGAAAGGATTGCTAACCTTTTGGGCGAAAGGCTGGCGCCGGTATCATGCATCGCAAAGGAGCTTAAACTTCCAGACTATCCGTACCTTGGCCAGAATACCATAGATCGAGTCACAAGCAGAGTTGGATCACTTTGGGCAGCCTTCACAAGTAATGTGCAGAGAAACGATGTTGGATTAGATAGTGACATGTGCATTGCTATAAATTATGTTCTGAAAAAGAAGACGCAACTATAAAAGCGAGTATTACGGAATGTTCGAAAATTTCTCTTGCCCATAACTCATTTGTCCCCGAAGAGACAGCAGACCATTGTTGGTCGTGAGTCACAGGCCTTCTAAGGCCGATAAATTTGTTCTACCAACGTTCCGTTAAGAACCCATTCTGGGATGAATCGGGCCCTTGCCGTCAACAAGTGACAGCACCGCTGGGTTGCATTCCACCGACTTCAAGTCGAGGCTGGCATATGACACATCACATCAAATCATAATGAAACTGGACCAGAAAGACCGGAAACCGTAATCGTAATTCATCACCTACTCTGATCTTCTCCGGAATTCCATCATCGGATCGGATAGTCCAGTACAGGGTACCGTGGGTTCCTTTCCCCAGACGCCTCGCTAAAAATAAATAGTAATCATCAAAAACACCTTCAAGGGTGTTTATACAAAGCCATTTGATCAGGCTTGAGTAAAGTTGTGTAGCAACGGGTGGTTGTTTTCGGACCAAAAGCATGATCGTGCAATCGTGTCTAATCACCATAGTGTTGGAAGAGAGGCGAAAGAGCCTCACCGTAGTGGTTACGTCGAATAGCTTCGGCCAGTAGGAATGACAGGTCAAGAACCACAAGCTTGCTGCTGCTGCGGGCTCTATCCTTGTCGATGGGAAAGCTGTTGGTGACAACAATCTGGTCGATGCACTCGCATGCTTGGAGCTGTTCCAGACTATCGCCGCCGAATACTCCATGGGTGGCCATGCAGTAAACCTTTTTGGCACCGCCCTTCTTCACCACCGTCTCAGCAGCAGCGATCCAAGATCCAGCCTTGTCGATCATATCGTCCACGATGAAGACAGTACGATTCTTGACGTTTCCAACCAAGGTAATGAGATGCTCGGCGCCCGGGTCTTCAAACGCATTGTCTTCCTCGTCAGAACTTGCCGCAGCATCGCCTGATCCACCAAGAGACTGGGGCTCGGGAACAAAGAAGGACGATGCATGAGACATCGTCATCGGATCGTCTTCGACACTGCCTTCGACAACTGATCGATCAGGAGAAGGATAGTCGTCCTCAACAATACGACCCTGAACCAAGCGGCCCTGTGTAACCTCAGACGCCTTATGGTCATCGTAGTCCGTCTCACCGTTGACTGAGTCGTCAGGGGATCCCGCAGGTGGGGTAGCATTTGAGTCCTCCGACTTAGCCACGTTATTGCTGGATGCGCGAGCGGAGTCAACTCGAGTAGGAGACCCCTGCGAGTTGGTTACAATTCTCGAGGTACGAGGAGGGGGCGTTTCCCTCTTGGGTGTGACCTCGGGCTCGGCTGCACGCTCGGGCACGGGGGGGCCGCGATTAGGAATGGGACGGTTCGACTCCAAGGGCGTCGGCTGGCGCTCGACGTTATGATCAAAATGTCTCATGATCATACTAGCCGTCATGTTGCTAACACGCTTCCTGTCTGTGGTGACGATACCAAAGTTGAGCTTCAGAGCATCTGCAAGCGATGTCACACGCTTGGTTCCTCCAGCATTCTTGGACACCACGACCGCCTCGCGCCAGTTAGGCACGCTGTGGCGGATCCATTTAGCGAGAATAGGCTCGGCATGCAGGTTGTCGACAGGACACTTGAAGAAGCCTTGCATCTGAGACGCATGCAGGTCGACAGTGATGACGTGCTTAACGCCCGCAACGCCCAACAAGTTCGCAAGCATACGAGCAGTAATCGCACCTCGATGCGACTTCTTCTTTGACTGGCGACTGTAGGGAAAATAAGGCAGAACAGCTGTTTGGGGTGACAAGTGAGCCGATTGAGGTCTCAAACAGGGGAAGAGAACCACGAACCAGTAACCTTGTTAGCAGAGCCGCCCTTGCAGGCTGAGATCATAATGAGAAGCTCCATGATAGAATCATTGATGCTGGGGCTGCCGGACTGGACAACGAAGACATCCTTCTCTCGGACACTTGTCAGAATTCTGACGCTCGTTTCGCCCTTGAGTAACCGGTTAGCTCAAAGCACGCAGTTTTCTTGACTGCCAGACATGGGCCAGGATGATTCGATCCATCGAGAAGGTCGGGATGGTTTGCCAAAGTAGGGTCATGTTGAATAACCATGGCCACGAGGGCAAGGGAAGCTCACATTGGAAAACTGCGTAAGCTCGGCGCTGGCAGGCTGCATACCCAAATTCTCACAGATTTGACCTGTGAGAACTGGGCATGAATTGCCGGCAAAGATCAGTGTGTTGCGCATCTTGACCAGCCCATCAACCGAAATGGAAAAGGTGACGCGTGGAGTTGAAAGAAGAGAACAAGAGAAAGAGGTGGGAAGAAGGAGGAAACTTTTTTAAGCTTGCGTTCCACCCCGGGAAGGAGCTTTTTTTTTTTTTCGTCGCTTCCGTACAAGAAACTGTGTGAGGCTCATCTCCGATACACTGTGTATTTTTTCTCGATGTACAGGCTTTTAGTGGATACGTACTAGCCTTTTTGAACAGACAGTGCTGCAAGTGGTACAGTGTGATATACTGTGTCTACCCCCCGCAATCATTAAATTCAAACGGGGCATCCCGGAAGTGCGTCACAAACTGTCACGGTCTTGTAATTTCCAACATTTATCGGGGATCAAAATCCTCCTTTGCTGTAAGGTAGGGGAGAGGTTTTATTTCTATTTTACCTCCTCCCCAGTACCAAATATTCTTTCTTAAAAACAATTGAAACCTTGCGAAAGCCTAGTTTTACATGTCTAATAATGTCTAAGCTAAATAAATTCAATAAGTAAATTACACAAGTCGCACATACTGAACTCTGATTGTTATCTTTTTTTAGTACGTACATCCAATGAGAATAGCTCAGTACTTAATTCAAGTGGTATGGAAGTTAGTATAGTACGTTACTGTACACAGCAAGCCTTGATCCCTATGTAATGAACTCAACTTATCCTCAACAAGGTTAGCAATTAACCTTCGCAATCATCCTTCAGTCGTTCCGTCAAGACTTCATCACTCAGTGTTCATACTAATAACCTTAGTAGCCAGCCAGTTAACCAACCCCTACCCCACCTGCCCTTGACCCCACATCACTGACCATTTTCATAGCCTACACACATTAAAACACCAGTGCGAATAGTTACACAAAGACACAGACAACGTCTGCATACGACTTTTCAAGCTAGCGTAAGAAGATTTCGGTTTCGAATCCTCATACATTCTCTAATGCTAGTGGAGATATAGTAGCGATCCCAAAGGGGAAAAGAAACTGGCAACTCAACCTATCCCTTCGATATGGGAATCCCCCGTCTAATTTCTACCCTGGAGCCCTACGTCGTTCATCAAGTTCTCGACAACAAAAGTGTGGTTATCGATGGTCCTGCCTTGGCCTATCATATTCTCTATATCTGTAACAGACATGGAATTCCTCAACCGTCGTACAAAATTCTGGGCAAGACTGCCGTAGCCTGGCTAGACGAACTGACTCGACGTAATGTCGTTGTGTATGCTTGATGTTCTTGCTGAGTTGACAGACACATACTGACACCACATCTCAGCGACGCTATATACTTTGATGGATATTTACCTCCAGACAAGGCGCCAGTTCGTATGCAACGGATGATTGAAAGTTTCAATCAGTTAAAGAAGACCCATTCTGCCGAAGCCAGTGGCTTCTCTCCAACATACTTCACAACGCCTTTTGAATCGTCTCCAACTCTCTTCTCGGCTGCTAGGCCTCCATTGGGGAAGCGAACAATACCTCCTAGCTTTCACGTTCCTGCTATTATTGACGCCCTGAGAATATCGCTACGCTATGCAAGTCTTGTTTGTCTCGTTCCAGGGGAGGCCGACGCATACTGCGCACAACATCTATCACAATCAGGTGGCACTGTCCTGACCTCAGATTCCGACCTTCTCGTCCACGATTTGGGAGAGGGAGACGTCGTTTTTATTCGTGACATATATCTCGACCAGCAATCACGTCTTGCATGCGCAAGCTTTAGCCCTGCACACATCTGTGAAAAACTCAAGCTTGCGTCCTCTGCAGAAATTTGTCGATTTGCATACGAGCGAAAATCTTCCCCACATTCAACCCTCCCACAGCTCTTACAAGATTGTATAAGGCCACTTGGTGACCAGATTGGGTATGCTGAGTTCTGCCAGGAATACCAAGACCATGCTGTTGCTCCCATACCTGTTTCTGTTTATGGAGCGCCCATACATATCGGCTCTCTGGACCCAAGGATATCGGAGATGGTGCTGCAGCTGGGACATACAGGTGTTCAAATGGACAGAACAGATGACCCCAAGATGTTCCTCCCCGTCCTTTTGGAAAGTCCAGAACGGGGAAGTGCTTGGGAGCAGAGTACATCGATCCGACAGCTGGCCTACACAATAGCACGCTGGGCTATCCCTGGAACATCCTCAGTTGTGCAAGAGTATCGTCGCGTGAATACCACAATACAAAAAGGGCGACAGGTTTCCATGCTCCCCGAAAAAACGACGAAAGCCTTGGTGCAAGATATCACAAGACTGATGTCTACGATCAGGCTAGTCACGGGTAGCGACACTATTCGAGCATGGCACTTAGTTTACCTGACTTTGGATATTCGACATTGTTACGAAGAGGGTAGACCTTCACACATGTTGCAGACTATCGAGGCGAGCCTGCAGAAACCATTGCCCCAACGAGTTTCTTGGGACACCATTCACTTCGTAGCGCAACTTCAAGCCGCTTACTACTCATTTCGGCTTTTGAAGCAAGTTTTATCGCTTGGACAGCCCGCAGAGGTCTTGCCGGAACTACGAGACATGTTATCGTCATTACCACCCCTGACGGAGTGCCCTGATGTCGACAGAACGCTCGAATTCCTACAACCAACCAGCAGCACGGGGGTTTACGAGATAATCGCTACATCTGTACCGTTGCCAAATGTTGACGACAGTGCAAAACGTAAACCAAGGGATAAGAACAATAAGCGAAAGATCACCAATCAAGATTCGCCCAAAACTAAAGCAAGGGTTATAAAGTCGGGGACGAGGAACATGTTTGATGTTCTATCCCATGAAAGCTAATGGTTTGGATCGAAAAGTTAGATACTATCAAGATTAAAAGTCCAGGTCTGCCACATCTAGTTTGGTGTAATCACTGAGACGCAACAACTGCAGAGTAGTAATCCGCCCGGCTGATTTCATGAACTCTTTCTGACTCGTATATTAAATTACGCAATTGCGTCTCTTTACGCTGCCACATAGTCATCCGTATTTTCGTACATCATCACCTAGATACTCATACAATTATTTGCTCCCAGCTTGGCTAATCCCATGAATGTCGTCCAGAAGCAGAGACAATGGGCCTGCTTCTTCCTCAATATCGTTCACGTCCCGTAGTAAGTTTTCTTGAGGGTTGCCATTCCCTGCAGATTTGATGATCCTCCATGCTCGGCGGAATTCGTCCCGAATAGAAACAATTCCGTTATGGGTAACAGTTCGAGCGACGTTGTGATCCAGCTCGAACGGGTCCTCAATAGCAAAGAGGTAACGATGACGAACTTCCTTGAACTCGGTATTCTTGGGCGCTCCACTAACCGATTTGACTTGTGTAGTTGTCTCTTTCCCAGCATGCTCCTTAGCATCTTCTGATGTTGAAGGTGCTTGTTCGGACTGGGGCTGGGGGTGAGCTCCCAAGTTTTGAGCTTCAATGACTGTTTTGGCCCCCGTCCAACCTTTGTCTTGCTTTGTCTGCAAGCCACCAGGAGTACGAAGACTAAGAACATCTCTACCCCAATCAAATCCTCTACCCGAGGAGGTACTTAGCATGCTGCTATGAGCATAGTATTCGAAGAAACCGCGTAAGAGATGCCCGATAGTATCGCTGTTCCTATTGAGCTGGTTTGCACGGGCGAGACGTAAGATGTCTTCCTCATTGCGCCAAAACTGGACGTTGTGACCTCGGCAACTCGTCATGTTCTCGAACTCGACAGGGGAAAGTCCTGGTGGGAGCGGCGGAGCGAATAGCTGCAGATTGGGGCTGACAAAAGGATCAGCAACGTTGACCAGGTAGTGAAGGACCATCAAAACGTAGCCATAGCTACTCAATGTCCCACGATAGCCAGAATTGATGCCCCGCACTTTTGCCCAATGCTTCACAAATAGGACCATGGGCCGGACACGGGGATCGGTATGAGAATAACAACGCAGAAGCGCCGTATTATGAAGAGCCAAATGTGCCGAAAAGTTGATGTCGCATTGAACACCTGCGCCCATCTTAGGGAACTCCAGATGATCCTTGTAACGATCGCGCGGCTGATTGGGGGCCATCTTATGTGGATCGGGCAACTGACGGATTCTCGTTACAAGGTCCAATGTACTTGAGGTCAGTGGGATCGAGAATTCATCGCCAAAGTCGTTACTATCAGCTTGCTGCAAAGGAGATCGAAGTAATGAGACATAGTTTTGTACATCTTGAACAACGGTGTCATCGTATAAACCCTTGTCGAGCGCCCGTTCAAATTCCCATGCCAGATGTATGCTCTTGTGGAGAAGGCCGATGCCTCTGAGCGTCAGTGATTTAGGACGGGCGGTAATGAAGCTTTGTAGTGTTCTTCGTATATCCTCTTGATGAATACCAGAAACATACTGAGTGATGAGGCTATCTGTCCACTTTGATGCGACTTCCTGATTAGCAGGATTCAAGCCGTTGAAAATGTACAAAGCTCTCGTGTAATAAGACACTGGTGTCTCATGTTGGCCCTGCTCCAAGGTCACGAATTGCACGGATGGGGCCTTCTTGAGCTTGTCGAGAGCTAGTTGAAGCTCCTTGGTATATGAAATCGGATCGATTCCAAAGTTCTCCTTGCATTGAACATCTTCCCAAAGTTTCAGCGATTGCTCAGTGAGGAGACGTGAGGGTTGGCTTCGCTCTTCTACACCGCTCTCCTCCCATAGCAGCCGAATCTGCTCACCTTCCACCTGAGTATAAACGCCAAGCAGGGATCGTTTGACTGGTGGATCTGTAGCGCTCGAGAATGTAAGAGACGGGTAGATGCGCAGGCGATCTTGGAGGCATGCATCTGTAAGACCGGCGACAAAAGCCTCGCTGACTCTGTTCAACAAGACCCAGTCGTGATCCACGAAGGAGCGGTAGTTCGAAATTGTCACATCACGGCCACCGGCTCGACGAAGAACTCGTTTGGCCAAGCCGTAATACGAGGAAAGAGAATTCTTTGGTCCTTGCTTGAGCTCAACTACTTTCGATTCCCCAGTGCCAGCGTCTGAGGAGGTAAATTCAGCAGAGACTGATACTTTGCTTGAAGCCTGATTGATATGATTTCGGCCATTATCCTGATCTTGAAATGGCGTGTGCTGATCGGCATCATCATCATCGTGACCCTCATGAACCTCGTCGAGCCCGTTCTCCCATCGAAAGCGTTCTTCAAGGAGATCTTGTCGTAGCTTCTCTGGCGGAGCCTCACAGAGCTTGATGATAGGGACTCTGGTACGAGTAAGCAACCTAGCGCCCAGACCAGCCTCCAAAAATGCCTTCTCCAACAAACGCGGAATAGGAGAGCCCGGGGCATCTGGCTGGGTAGCTGACATTGGAGAAAGAAGTCCAAGATCCATGTCAGAAGCCTTTGTTGCGAACCCGGAAGATAGACTGCCGAAACACTTGAGTTGAACCGTGAGAGGATGGAATTCTGCTTTAGGCCTTCCTTCCTTCTCATGGTTAGCAATCACCTCCCGGCTGATGGCTTCGATGCGGCAACGGAAGTCTTCTTTATCTGCAATCTCAGATATACCGATCTCAGAATTGGACACCACATCAAAACAGAGTTGATCCAGTAGAGCAGCCTGAGCTGCAACCTCTTCAGGATGAAACTGAACAGCACGCCGGGAATTGTACAGATAACCACTACCGCGATTTGGTTGAGCGACCATGGGGTCCTGGCGACCGTGGTTGGAAGGCTGGAAGTGGTCATGCCCACGAGATCTAGGCTGCTGAGAGTTATTCCATGACCGCTGCGCGTGTGGGCCGCCATGGCGATTGTCATTAAAAGCTCCCCTTGGCTGAAACTCGACGTGGGCCTGCCTTTGATAAGACTGTGACGCCCTCGAATAATGAGCGTTGGGGCTTTGGTAGTTCCTGTTCTGAGATTGCTGTTGAGGTCGATGATCAATCGATATGGAAAGTTGGGAGCTCATTTGACGTCTCTGTGCTTGGTTCAGGCGCTTGCGGGCTGGTTTGGGCGTATGGGAGATACTTTCGGATGGTTCTGCTTGTGCACTACTATTTTCGGTGCCATGTTGGGAGACCGGAGCAGGCTGCGAAGAAGCACTATGCAGCGAACCCTGTGTTGACGTCCCGTTGGAGATAATGAGGTTGCGTAGATGGTTCTCCAAACCCGAAGGAGCAGGGTCTTCCGCTGAAGGCCCCAGACTCTGAGAAACCATGGAGGGTTTAGACATGAAGAAGGTATAGATGAACAACAGGAAGAGAAATAAGCCTAATCAACGAGTCTTGGTTGCCGCAGATGGGATCGCAAGAGGTAAAAGCTGTCGTGTAAGAAATCTGACTAGGATTTGAATAGGCGCATCCCATTCGTCCAACTTTCTGGTAGAAATTTCAGGCTTCCTTAAGAGTCTTCTTTGAGAAAAGCAGAGGCATAAGCATATAGACTGGAGCTGTTGTGCAGGCTATGATTGCGTTTGGGTCTTGATTGCTGTCTATTCAACTGAGGGAGGAATCTGGGGAGCAAACAAGGGTATGCGCCTTAGTGCATTGCTTCAATAATGGGGAAGGAAAAGAAAGAGAATATGGCCCATAGGCATAGAAAGAAAGTGATTCGGGTTCTGTAGAGTAAGTTTCGTACAGTAATTTTGAGAGAAGACTGAGTTTGGGGCAACACAGACATGCAAGGTGATGTTGAAGCTTGCCTACCTAAGTGGGACCTCCACAAAATGCAGCTACATATGCGCTCATGGCTCGACGATATCTTAGTACTAAGATTAGTACCCAGGTGCATCACAGTGCCAGAAGATATGTTCTTACTCCTATTCATGTATACGCAAAGCAAGAACTCCACTGTACCACGACTTGATACACAGTGCGCAAACGTCTTAAGACTAAATGCATAGGTAGGTACCTACAAGCGTACGCTACACTGCCTTAGGTACACAGACGATCAATTCAATGGAAAGGCTGAATCACTCGCCATTCGACACCAATACGGCAGTATCATTTTCTGTCTCTAATATCTGACATACCAACAGCACGTGCTGCCTTGAAACTCTTGAGGGTAAGTGAAGGTACGGGTACCTATGGAGCTACCCACCGTTTCGGTGGCTGAACAGCTTTCTTTTTGCACAGCCACATATGGCCTATCCCTTTGTCATCGTCATAAGGTCTGGGTGAGAAGGTGCGCCTGGCTCAGCATCTTTGTTCGTGCACCAACCTAGCATCCTCTTTGTCAATAAAAACAAAGAGGAATTTCTTGCACAATTTGCTGCTGTCGACCCCCGCTAAATATCAATCAGCGAAACAGCCTTTGACTTTTAATCGAAATTATTCCAACCTTTCGAGTTACCGCGCGTTTAGATCCTCCGTCGCGCCCAGCGCAAAGCTAGGCTACAGACAGGTTAAAACCTGCTACCCCCGAAGCATTCATCGCAATAGATATTTCGAAAAGTCACGCTCATCTCACCAACATGAGCGCGCCACCACCACCAGGAAACCCACCGGCCAATGCGCCTGCTCATCCAAATGGCGCCTCGAAGAGCAAGAAGGCCAATCCCCTCAGACCGATGCGTAAGAAGCCCGCCAATCCTCTGGTTTCTCGAAGACCACCGCCGAGACCTGCGGTGCCATCTGGCTCAGGGGCACAGAACGGAGCGAAGCCAAACATCGAAGAAATCCGAAGGCAAAATGGAGGATGGTCAGAAGTGCCGCCGGCAGTATATAGTGATATCCCCATTATGACAACCAAGAAGGCTCTCCTCGACGGTATACGTTATCACATGATGAAATTCACCCAATCAAAAGTGGGCGACAGATCCATAGACCCAACCGATCAGGATGATTTTGCACGTCCTGTAACCTTGCACCGGCGAGACGCTCGCCAGCCTCCCCCAGGAAGAGCTGTTAAAGTGGAAGCACCCGAGGCCCCGCAACCCGACGAGCAAGAGGCAGAAAGGCTGGCACAAGTCAAGGCGGAAAGAGAAGCTCAACGCGCGATTGACCAGGCAAAGATTGCACCTGTAGCTAAGGATCCCAATCCTAAGCGACCAAAGAAGCAGAAAGAAGAGAAGACCACATTCAATAGAGCGCCAAAGACAGACGCTGCCAAGAAGGAATCGGATCTTCGATATGAGGAGGCTCTTCCATGGCATCTTGAAGATGCAGAGGGCAAGAATGTATGGGTCGGCAACTATGTTTCTGCACTCTCTGAATCAAATGTGGCATTCATGATAGACCAGTCAGTCTTTCGTATGGTACCCCTAGAGAAGTGGTACAGGTTCACTTCGAAGCCCCCATTCCAACCTTATACTATCGATGAAGCCGAAGCTCTCATGAACAAGAAAGTAGACGTCGGTCGCTGGGTTATGAAGGACGAAGAGAAGAGAGCAGGGCGACAGGATGTGGAAGCCACTCGACGGATGTTCTACGGAGGCGGTCAGATGGTCAAGACGGAAAGCGCAACATTCAAGGCCGCTTCACGATCTGAGAAATTGGACCATGACGATATTGATTTTTCAGGTGATGAATTCCAGGATGACGACGAAGCACCTATGTTTGAAAGGAACGATGACGAGGATACGAAAGACGCCAAAGAACGTATTCGACGAGAGCAGCTTGGTGCCAACTTATTCGGTGAAGGAGACGAGGGGGAAGTTGACAAGGAGCTGGACGAACAATTGCAAGAGGAGATTATGCGTCAGAAGCTTGGTAAAACAACCAAGAAAGCGCTGATCAAGCGAGATCAGGAGAACATCTATGAAAGCGACGACTCTGAAAACAATCCCTGGAGCAGCGAGGTAAGGTGGTCATCAGCCCCACAATTAGAATGAACTAACTGGTGTCAAGTCCGATGACAATTCATCCGATGAGGATGAAGACGAGGAGAATAAGGACGAAGAGAAGAAGGATGAAGAGAAGAAGGAGACCGGCAAGGACGACAAGGCTCAAAGTGGCTCTGGTTCTAAGGGCACTAATACCCCGTCGGGAAAGAAGCCTGAGGGGTCTAAGAAGAGCAAATCACTCAAAAGGGCCGGCTCTCCAGCACTGTCGGAGTCTAGCGGAAACGAGTCTTCCCGGAAAAAGCTTAAGAAGAACGTTACATCTGCTGCGGATAGTAGATCTGGCACTCCCTTACCCCAGGGGGCAGCTGCGCGCCGAGCTATGGGAGCTGGGTCTGGCAGCGACGGCGAGGCTACTGCCGGCGAAATGTCAGATGGTGCCGCATCTAAGAGGAAGAAGTTGAAGCTGGTCAGCCACAGTGCTCGGGGGACTCCCTCGGCCTCTCGAGCTGGCAGCCCCAATCCACCAGGTGGTAAGTCGTTGTCTGGGCAATTTCGAAGTCGAAAACAACTAATATTCTCTTCTAGCAACTTCTCCTGGATCTCCTGGAGGATCGATTGTCGAACCAGCCGAGATTCTGGAAAAGATTCCAGACGAGGGCATCACTATCGGTGAGCTCATTAAGCTTTTCAACCATCGCTTGGGTGACCGGCCCGGCCAAATGCCTAAGACGGAATGGATTCAGCTGGTCAAGAAGATCTGTGCATATGGGCCCGATAAGAGGCTACGTCGTAAATCATAGGCAATGAGGTACACGATTGGGTGAGGTGTGCTTTTTGGTGACTTTATTGTTGGTTTTACTTGAGAACCGACAAATGACGCTGGGAAGCGAGAAGGATAGAATTCACACTTTCAGACCATCAGCTGCGGCGACGAGGGTTGCAAAGTGCTAAGAAAAGGGTATAAATTAGAGTAATTATATAAGAATGTGCCCGTCTACTCATCCATTTGCCATGAATAATTCAACCCCTTGTTTCGTTCTCTGCGATTGATCGCCTTGAACCTCTCTGCCTCGAATCCATTGCCGCGATCAACGCCATCCCAGCGGTACCCTGGCTTGATTCCGTAACGATTTGGCGGTGCTGCGCCGGCATATACCGGCTTCCGTTTCGATTTCTTCCCATGTTTGTCTTTGTCTTTCTTCTCGCTCATGAACTGCATCATGGGGTCGTTCCAACGGTCCTGCTCTTTCATTTCTTGATTCATTTCTTCGTCGTCGACTGTGCGAGCAAATGACATAAGTTTAGCGTCTTGAAGCTTCTCACGTCGCTTGCGGGCCTCCTCAAGCTGCACATCGCCCTTGAGAGCTTCCTTAGCAAGCCGTTCTTTCTCCTCTGCCTCAGCGGCTGCGCGTCGTGCTTCGGCCCGTTTCATAGATACGTCGATTCTTCGACCAGTTGCGTCTCGGTATACTGTTTCTTCCTCCTTGGCTGATTTGCGATGCTTTTCAAATTCCTCACGTTCCTCTTTTCGTCGTCGCTTAAGCTGTGCCGATACGGTTGCGGCGCTTTGCAATCCAGCATGCGTTCCATCGCTCATTTTGACAGCTGAACCATCATCCTCTACCATTGGCATATCCTCGTCTTCATCGCGGGCTGCGCTCTGCTCTGCCGCTGCTGATGCCAGAATCGCGTCTGCAGCTGCCGCAGAGTCATCCTTCCCTGTCGCGTCGCCCCCTACCGACTTCCAATTACTCTTCTTAGTTTTTCGGAACTCGGCAGATTGCCCAGATATCGTGACTGGGGCATCTAGACCTTCGTCCTCTTCTTGCGCATTGGTATTGCCCCAACCCGAATCGTCGTCGTCGGTTATGAGAAGGCCATTGCTGGCTTCGGCGCCACGCTTGCGCTTTCGCTTCTTTGCTGGTTTTGGATCCGCAACTAGATATTTTGAAGCCAAGTACGCCGATAAGTCTGAAGGCATTGCGTTTTCTGTGTCGTGAAGAGAAGTATTGGTTCTCTAGAAACTTTACCTGACATTTGCCATGGCTCGATGGCTGATGTAGACTTATGCAGCTATCGAGTGTCGCGACTATAGCCCCGATAAAGTGATCGTAGGTCGACGTCCCTGCCTGGGCGGGTCTGGGCGGGCTGAGTCCACCTCCATAAGGTACCTAGGTAGGATACGTACCACCACCATGTCCCGCCCCAAGTTTCCACATCGTTGCCCAACCTTTGTCGCTAATCAAGACCAAATCCTCAAGAGTTGCGGCTACGTTCACAATCACCCGTTGTGTCATTCTTTCCAGTAACAGGATCATGCCGAGCCGACCTGGTGTTCTAACAATCTGCGATTCATCACCCACTTGCGCACCCTAATCTTCCGAAACTCGAAACCTAGATACTACCTACACATATTCTTAACCCCTACAATAACAACTACCCAAGATTATCGTAGCGAGTAACAGTTCCCGTCGCCTTCATGCCACAACCTCTCGAAAATGAGGCCACGCCCACGGAACCACTTCAGGCGTTGCCAGCAGCTGCTTCTGCCATGAAGTTTACGAAATCACGACACTCCACCCCTGTCCTAGAATCGTTGCCGTTATCGCAATCCGAAACCAACCTTGCCTTCCGGCGCTCCAACCCATCTGCCGCTTCCCTTTATGCTTCAACTCTCTCGCCGCCCGGATCGCGTTCCATATCGCCGGCCGGCCGAGGCTCACCCGCTCGTGTACTCTCCCATACCGTCTTCGATGCACGGCCTAATCGACTCCCCGAAACTGGGGGTGACAGCTCCGAGCCCCTGAATCTTGTGCTTCGAGCATTTGTTCCCCACGTTTCAATCTATACTTCCGAAGATACGGACACTTTGATGAGTGAGAAGGGTTTCCGAGGTGGCCTATGGGAACTTCTCCGTCCGTTTGGTGAAGATGTGCAAGGCAAGATCACAATCAGGGATAGTAATGGCATGAGTAGAGTAGCAGATGGGTTCTCTATCAGGTTTACACGGTTCGGTGACAATATTGAACACCCCGATCCTACAGTATCGGGTTTCAGGAGTCTTGCGTCGTCGCAAGGACAGAACGGCAGCCAAGCAAGCACATCAAGAGACAAGCAATTCCTCGCTGATGTGGAAGCTGTGGTGGACAGGCATTTGTCCTACGCCGAGCAATCTTTTGCGGTCTTGCCGCGTTACGGCATGTTTGCCGATCAGAACACAGCGTCAGAAGCGACGTCGCCATACTATGCACTTTACCTACGCCGCTTACTATCTGGTCTTCCCATCTCACCCCACGAAACCTTTTCTCATCCAGTAACGTGTGTTATCGCCGTTAGCTCGAGGAATCCGGATCCAATCTCGGAAATGAGAAGGCTTTACACGGAAACAAACGAAGGAAGTAAGAAGCTTCCTCCCTGGGTCGATAGCGAATTCATCCGATATTATGTGCTGGTTCATGACGAGGAAACGGATGATATCATACAATCTATGGGTATATTCGAACAGATGAAGCGACACCTTGGAATTCATTGTCACCTTCTACGATTGAGGAGCAGCCAGAGTGCAGAGACCGACGATGACAGCATTCCATTGCCACGCAGCGACTGGATGTCAGCTCACGAAGAACTCGAGGATATCCGCCAGAGTGAGGATGATGAGGATTTTGAGGATCCGACACGCTACATATTCGAATCTGATGCTACTGCCATCCGTACGTTTGTGCGTGAAATGGTGACCATGTCTATTATACCCCAAATGGAGCGCAATGTCTCTATCTGGAATGATCAGGTTGCCTCAAGACGCAGAGGCATCACAGGCCGCTTCATGAATTTGTCGAGAAAATGGGCATTCGGCGGCAGCTCAAGGAATTCAACAGGTGGCACCAGCAACTCTAGAGACAACTACAATGCTGCTGGATACTATGGCTCAGAAGCCCCTGAGGCCATCATGCGGAAATTGGCAGATTATGCCTTTATGTTAAGAGATTGGAAACTGGCACATTCGACGTATGACCTTTTGAGATCCGACTTTAGTGATTCTAAGGCCTGGAAACATCATGCCGCGGCCAACGAAATGGCTGCTTTGAGTCTTTTGATCTTCCCTCAACAAATGTCGTCAAAGAATCGCGCTGAAACAATTGACCAAATGCTGGAGGCTGCATTCTACTCCTATAATACCCGATGCAGTGCACCCTACGGGGCTTTGAGAAGCTTGCTGCTTGGCCTTGAACTATTGCGGTTGCGAAACGGTACGAATATCGATGACGCTGGCCGATGGGGAGTGAGGCTTCTTGAGTCCAAGATTTCGGGTATCGTAGGCGACGCCTTGATAAAGGAACGTCTCGCTGTTTGCTACGGTTCCAAGGAAGGTGTCGGAAGCTGGCACTGGGGTTCACGTCGCCGCAAGTCAGCAACATGGAGTATTCTTAGTGCAGATGCTTGGCTTCAGCAGTCTAGACATATTCAAGCGCGACGGTGCTTGGATGAAGCCCACAGGATGTACTCAACTTTACCCCATAAGGAGGGTATTTCCAGGTTCGGGGCAGCAGGGCACTTTATGGCTTCATTGCAGCATAACTTGGCCGAATCACCAGACGCTTCAGACAACGACGATGGAGACGACGGGGATGATGGAATTGACGAGGAGAGCGAGGCACTAAATGATATGAGACCGCGACGGCCAAGTGCGGCGGCAGCTGACATGTTTCGAAATACAAGCAGGGGGGAAAGCAGCACTACAGATGATGGTACGTAGGGAAATACAATTACCACGAATTTAAAGACAATATTCTTAACGTGTACCATCTTATCGAATGTGACTGCAAAATTGCAGGCCAGCCCATCTCGTGGTCTAACCCGCTGGATGGGCATATTCTCACGAAGTTATGAGACAATCCAAGATTTCCCTATTGAGCCGGTGCTCGATACCTGAGGTATTACAGCAGGCAGTTCTATTATAAATATTGTGGAGAGCATCCTCAAACTATCAAAAGGGTTGGTCTCCTCTCTTCGCGGTCTTTAGTTAAGATTCCATCAAGAACATTGCATACATTGCCAAAGCCTTGACGTACTATCCTGAATGGTACCTGATCCAAAATAGAGATCACCCAGGCGACTTATCTACCTTGACCGCGACAGCGAGTAGCCTCTTCTGCCACAACCGCAGCTCGCTGTTCTGCTATCAAGAGACGCTGCTTGCGGAACGCACCAAATGCGGAAATGACAGAACAAGCTGCAACGGCAGTTGCTACCTTCATTTCTATCTTGAATGCGTCAGCGTAGGTATAACGAACAGCCGACCACTGTGAGTTGGAAAGTGGGGTTTCAGAGCTGCCGATTGTCGCTTGCTCGTGGGGAGTCAGAATGCCAGCGAGGTATTGTGAACTCTTCTCATTGAGTAGAGCCGACGAGGTCGCTATGCCCAGGCTGCCACCCAAGAGTCGCACCTGGGACAGAATTCCTTGGGCAGGGGCTGGTGATTGTTAGCATCATCCCTTGTCTTGAAGTGGCGGCACTCACCATAGTCCCGAATGGGCACTTCAACCATCGACAACATGGTCGACGAAGCGACAGTTAAGCCGAAACCAAGACCGCAGAACGTCATATAGCCCAGCAGCTTAGCATCTTCCGCCTCATGTGACAGCGAAACAAGCAAACCGCAACCCAGTGTCATGAAACATGATCCAATCAGCAGTGACTCAAAAGTGTAGTTCTTTGTGTTGTTGATCTTGCCTGCTACTATGCTGCCGATGGCGGAGGACCCCAGCATGGGAAGCAACATGACGCCTGCAACAAGGGCTGACTTGCCGCTGACGACTTGAAAGCGCAACGGGATCGCATAGATGAGCAGTAGGTAGGGGAACCCGTTGAGAAGTGTGTTGATGACAGCAGTGGAGTAGACCCTGCTTCGAAAGATATTAACTGGGAAGGCCGGTGCAAATCGATCGTACCAGCGATGTTGAATAAAGATCTGCCATGACACCAACAAACCGCAAGCGAACAAACCACAGATCAGGGGGGCAATGAAAATGGCGGTGTTCCATCCTCGATTGGATGGTTCGGTCCCAGCATTCTGAAAAGAGAAGACAATGAGAACTGCGGCAGCGATAGCAAGCAACGATCCTAACAAGTCAAGTTCCTTCCAAGCACGTCTTTGTTGGGGTGGCAGGTATCCAGCCTTGGGCCAGGCGAAAACGAAAATTGCAAGAGATACGAATCCAACCGGTCCACTGGATTTTCTTCTGTTAGCTCAATACGTAGATACGCAGTAGCAAGGGGCTTACTTGATCCAAAACACCCACCTCCAGGAAGAGTAATGTGTCAAGATACCACCAAGTACAGGTCCAAGGACGCCTGAGACGGTAATGACCAAACCAACCATAGCTGCCATGTGCTGCTTGAGGTTGTCTGGACTCAACTCTGGCATCATGATCATCGTAAGAGCGTACAGCCCTGCCTTGGTTAGACTTGTAGGCCACAGCGGAAGATGGTTATGCATACCTGAGCCGCCAACACCCTGCAAAGCACGAAAGGCAATGAGTTGATTGAGGGTCTGAGCGAAACCACACGCCAGAGAGAACACAAAGAATATTATGTAGGCTGCAATGAAAGCATCACGACGTCCAACAATGTCGGATATGCGAGCAAAGACGATGGCACATCCTAGATAAGCAAGGGTGTAGGCAAGGGCGACCCAGTTGACATCCTGGAGGACTTGAAAGTCAACACCGATGCTGTGAAGGCTGGTAGCAACGATAGATGTGTCTATCATAGACAGGAATAGACCTAGAAAGACTCTTGAATAGCAGGTGCGTTAGCAATATAGGCGGACAGGGCAGTGACTATCACATACCCAACAGACAAGGTCCAGAAGCGAACTGGTGGGATCGAAGGCTCTCGTAGCTCACCGCAGACAGAACTATCGGCAGAAGCATTTATCTGAGATGCTGGTGTTTCTACCGATTTATCATCGCCTTTGGTGGGCATGCTGCGATCCGTAACTTGTTCATCCATTGCGACGTTCAAGATGGAGATGGAAAGCAACCTTCACTCTGAGAAAGAAAGGGGAATGGCAACAGGTTTGGCTGCAGCTAAGATCGTAGCCTGGTGGGGAGCTTGGGTGAATGGATGATAATATTCAGTAGTGGCGCATCGAATCACTGATACTGATCAGATGCAGCACTGGCAGGCTGGTGATGGACCTGAATCAGTGCAGTGGCTATGAGAGGCCGTCGGTGTATTACAACGAAGACTACCTTATTGATGTAGGCTCACTTGCGATATAAGAGAGAGTATCATAACATCATGTAACAGTTTCCATATACATACATGTATATATATGACTTGGAGGCTGACTGCAAAGTAAGCGTACCCGTAGGCTTGACTGATCTCTCAGTTTTGATGAGCGATACACAACGCCGGCATCGCATGGACATCCATAACTAGATAGTCCGAAATGTCAAATGCGAGACCTTATGGGCATCATCGAAACGATGACTGGCGACCAATGGTCTCTGGATGTAAGAAGCTAGAGGAGATCAGCTTCACGACGCCGTTGTGGAGTGAGCGAGGCCCACTCACGCATCTCGCATTCGCTTCTCTCTAAATTAGTAATTAACTACGGATACAAAGTTTCTGTCCATTTATTGGTGCATAGGTCACGTAGGATTACCCCGGGTCATGCATCCTGTCTGAAGGCTGCAGAGTGAGATTTATTGCACTGACGGAGTTTCTTGTTTTGGTTTATATTTGCCCAATATGAGACAGGAAAAGGAAATTCTTTCGAAGGAAGTTGATAATCAAAGGTTCCTCGACAAAGGCTGTGCAAGGTTCATCTACCTACCTATCTAACTCACACCTTGTTTATAGCAGCTGTCAATCTCGGAGATTTTGTATGCACTTGTGGCATATTCCATCACCACCCTCAACGATTGTTTTGAAGAAAAGGCTGGCGACGGTGTACGTCACCATCATGGCGGCTCTCTTCCTGAGTCAGGGTAATCATACACGTGCTCCATACCTACCTAGGTTTCGTTTCATACCAAGTCTATCTTAGACTTTTTCCTTGTCATACTCATGGAGTAAACTCTGCTCACCCGCTACCTCAGTTCTATTGCTACAGCCAAACTTAGTGCTAATCCTGCCTGCTTTGCTCACCCTACAGCTCTTCATAATTGAACCAATCAACTTTGTTGACTTGAGCTGATCAGTCACTGAAGGGTGACGTACTGTAGCGCCATTACAGTCACTACCTAAAGTACATCCGTAGTGGGGTCCATGCTCAAGCTTCCACCAATTCGGCCGATGCTCGGTCTCGGTCCTACCAGCTTGCAGTACGGGTAGGCATCCATGAAGCCTTACCTAGTACCTAGTAGCAAGTGCGTGTAGCTTACCTTAGTACCTCTTAGCTGAGAGACCTTAAACATCAACATCAACACCATCACCGTCATTACAATCGGCTCCTTTCTTCAGAAATTACCTACGGAATTTATATCAGAACCTTGCCGCTTGGGCGCACGCAATACTCGCTTGTCCATATTCTGACTGCGCACTGTCAGACGTGCTAGGATCAAAACCTACACCCTCACATTCACACGATCCCCCTTCGATCAACTCAATCATGGCCGATGTCATGTCTCAAACTCCCCCGGTCCTCCATGGACCTTCCGAGAAGGAGCGGAAATACGACCGTCAGCTCCGCTTGTGGGCTGCGTCTGGTCAGGCTGCTCTAGAGTCGGCCAACATCCTACTCATCAACTCTGGTGCTGGCACTGTCGGTGTCGAAACCCTCAAGAATCTTGTGTTGCCCGGTATTGGAAAATTCACCATTGCAGACAAGAGCGTCGTGACTCATGAAGATCTGGGCGTCAACTTCTTTGTCGACGATAGCTGGCTGGGCAAGTCGAGAGCTGAAGCCTGTACCAACTTTTTGTTAGAGCTAAACCCAGAAGTACAAGGTGAATGGTACCCAAAGCATGAGGTAGAATAGTTATCCCAGAAAACTATTATATACTTCCGCTGACATGCCGCAGGAGAAACCCTTCAATCTCAACGGCCTTCTCAGTAACTCACCTACATTTACCATGATTCTGTATGCACTACCCCTTCCTGAAGACCAGGTCCAGTCCATACAGAACTATACCCACCAGCATAGGATTCCTACAATTGCAGTGCACTCTGTGGGATACTACTCTTACTTCAAGTCCACTCTTCCAGGGACATTTCCGATCGTGGATACTCACCCTGACGAGACTGCTACCACCGATCTGAGACTTCTTGCCCCCTGGTCTGAACTCGTTGATTTTTCAAGAGGCATGACTGAGAACATTGATGGTTTGGATAACCATGAACACGGGCACTTGCCTCTGGTGGTAATTCTGCTCCATTACCTCGAGCAGTGGCAACAAACGCATGATGGCGCTTATCCTACCAGCTATGCCGACAAGACATCGTTCCGCAAGACCGTATCCGAAGCTATGAGGACTAACAACCCTGAAGGAGGAGAAGAGAATTTCGAAGAGGCTATAGCTGCTGTTATGAAGCATGTTGTAGCTCCATCACTCCCGAGTTCGCTCCAGCAGGTCTTTGACTATATCCATCAGGATCCTGTAAGCATATAGCCATCATCTCCCGGGTGTATGATACTAATTACGTTCCAGGATGAGATCAAGTCCAGTTTCTGGATCATCGCAGAGGCGGTCAAACGCTTCTATTCCTCACATGATCGGTTACCTGTTCCTGGGGGGCTGCCCGACATGAAAGCACAGTCCAGCGTCTACATCAGACTCCAAAATATCTACAAAGAAAGGGCCCGCCAGGATGTCAGTGAAGTTCTGGAAATTGTTCGGAGCATCCCTGGGGGAGAGGATGTGGACTCTGATCAGGTCGAACTCTTTTGTAAGAATGCTCGCTTCATCAAGCTCATCAACTCTCATGAGGAAAAGACAGTAAAGCTTGAACAAGTTGTTGGTAAGTATTTCTTAGCCATTATCAACTATGCTTGTGCTAATAATCAACTCGTAGAACAGCAACTGGCCAACGATGAAATTGCAGCAATCGCTGGCCCCGAGATGCCCCTGTCTCTTATCCCGCTTTACCTCGCCCTCTTGGCGACATCTTATTCAAAGACAGCTACTGCAGACGAAATCATGGCTTTTATCAACAGCCATGCGCCCCAAGTCGCTGACAACGAGCGCTACAGTAAGACTGCGCAGGAAGTGGAACGAGCTGCTGGCGGCGAACTCCACAACGTCTCAGCTCTCACGGGTGGTATGGTTGCACAGGAAATGATCAAGATCATAACGAAGCAATACGTCCCTATCGACAACACGTGTATTTTCGATGGAATCGATAGCCGCTGTCAGGTGCTTCGTCTGTAGATTGAAGCTTCTGCGAGGAAGTGTTGTAGCGACGCCAGGTAGGCACAGATGCATAGGAATAAAGCCTACGGATGGCCTAAATGGCGATCTGAGCAAGCGAGTATGTGGGAGGAACTGTCACGAATCATGACTCAATAGAATGATAGGCAATAGAGCAAATATCGCCCTGCAACTCTGTTGAAGGATGAGGGGCGTCCCAGAGTATCCATTCCGTGACCCGGCGTGGCGGCTTTCGAAGATGATGACCATAAGATGCGTATTCTACATACGCACCCTTCTCAACCTCGACTATAATATTGCCACAGCCAAGAGCAAAAAGGACGGTCTTTCCACGGATCGAGTAAGTAAGACATGGTATCGGCATGGGCAAAAAACATACAACAGCG